GTGTGTGTGTGTGTGTGTGTGTGTTGCAGTGCCAGGTGGAGCTGCTGGTTCATTTGCAGCACTCTCCCAGGGGACGAGTCCCTCATGTCAGAACGTCAATCAGACCCTCCCCTCTTCCTCTGTATACGTAAACCTTCTTGCCGCCCCTTCACTCATTTGCACTGGTTAGTAATCAACTACTCACCTGTATTAATGTGTTTGTATTGTATGTTTTTCAGTCACACTAAATATAAAACACAATGTGTCCAGCTGATACTGATTTATCGACTTGTTAAACTAGTTTTAAAATGACTCAGGAGCCTCCACAGAGTGAATAAACAGTCTCTCAGCATCTGGAATAGCCTTGGTTGTAAAAAAGAAGCCAGAGAACACTGTCTGCTGCACTGGTTCATTTATTTCTCTTTTTTAAGAACCTCAATGAAAGAATAAGAGTGGTGGTATTTTGTCAGGCAGGGGCAGATCCAGGAGCAGAGCTAGGGGGGCAAGAAATCAGATTGATCCCTGAAGTGCTCCTGTCCTGTCAGTAAACCCTTTTCTCTGAATAAACTAGTTGCTTAATGACAATACGTATGAAAATGTGTTAAGAATACTGAATTTTCAAAAATATATTGGCAAACATTGGCCCCTTTAAGGCCCCAGATTCAGAAAAATCCTAGATCCACTACTGCTTTAAGGATTCAACTGCAGTCTCTTTGTTAAAACCCAATGCAGAGGTACACACTAAATTCAGCCACAGTAGAGAGTCATATCAGAACCCAAACTCCAAATCCTTCTAGTTTAACACATCCAACCATGAGTTCTTATATTTAAACAGGAGGGTCCTTCTGGCAGTGAGGAAATGTCTGAATTAAAAAAATGTCCTGGCGACACGACATGGATCAGCACACTCCTGACAGATGGCATCTCAGGTTGCCAAGACAACTGAACCCTAATCCGCCTCCCTCTTATCCCCGCTGCTGTGGCGGCGGCGGTGGGGGTGATAATTCAGCACAGGGCCCCATGTGCTGTGTCCCACTCAAATTGGTCCCCTGGGTCAAGAGGACCCGAGGCCCCTCAGATGGGGACACAGTTATTAGAGACTTACAAGTGTTTTATCATTCTGTCAGATTGAAGCAGATTTCATTTGGAGGTGGAAAGAGCTGTGTCATTCAGATTATATATTGTGTGTGTGTGTGTGTGTGTGTGCTGTGGCTATTAGGAGGATATGTGCATTGATCTGGTTTCTGTTCAGGTTTCACACAATTTCTCTCAAACGTTGATTTTACACTACATTAACATTTCTTGTGTACCCCCTCCAAGGCCCAACAGCCCCTTATTTTTACAGTACTACTGTATAATAATCAAGCTGGATTGCTGTTTTGTGACCATTCATTTAGTTACTTTATGTTACTTTTCTTTCCTGTTTGCAGACGTATCAATCTGTGTGGAACCAGACAGTTTTTCTAACAAGGCTCAAAATTCACAAATTCCCCAAAAAACCAAATCCCACCATTATCTTTAAAATCACTTGTCATCTTTTTGAAAAAACGCAGCTACAACCCATAGAGATGTCTGTCTTTTTGCCAAAGGGAATTCCTTGAGATCTCTCTCTGTTTTTATCCCATAAAATGTTCCACCATCATATTATGATGTAGGAAAAAAGAAAAAAAAACGACTCTGCCTCTTTTCTCATCTCAGAGGAATTCACTGGGACTGAGCTCAGTCATGTCAGGGTCTCATGATGATTACTGCTAATTATTCCCACCAAGTATTAAAACTGTCTTACTGTCAGCCGCATGTCGCTGGCTGTGTGGCTGCAGGGCATTCATATAAATGACTAATAAATAATATGTCAGTCGATCCTGCGTGTGACAAACGAGTGCTGGTTACCTCGGCTCAGGCTGGCAGGCCAGGGGGTCGGTAGCTGCGGGCGGACCTTTACTTTAATTAAACTACCTGTCACACTGAGCTTCTAAACGTGGAGCCACTGTGGAATCACTGCCAGGAAATTACTGTAGTTAGAGTCTACAAAATGGGTTCTGTGAAGTGTTAGCAAATGGCCACTAGAGAGCAGTATAGCTTCTCAAGCACAAGCCCTTGGTGCTGTGTGGAAAAAGAGAAGCCATCTTTACTTTCGATGGAGAACACAGCGAATATGTAGTGATTCCATGTATCCAAAGAAAGAGCCAGTCTCTCAATGTGCAGGTTTTTCCTAACGCTACATACAGAAAACTGGGTTCTATGGTTACCCGACAAAAAGGTTGGTGCACGTTCACAACCTCCCGTAAGACGTGGACAGGGCTCAGCTCTGTGGGGGCAGCCGCCTCGCTGCCACTCTTCTCTCCGTCACTGTGACTCCAATCACTGGGATTTTAACAAGATTACTTGGAGCGAGTGGAAGCAATAGAGTACCAGTGTAACGTAATTATGAAGTGATGGAGTTCGTATCGCTGCCGAGTCGCTTGACCCCTGTCATCACGTGAGGGATATCACACACCCCCGCTCCCCCGTCATGATGAACAAAGATGTGTCAGCACAAATATGAGTTTAATCAAGGGTTCATGTTTTCATCTTCTGCAAAAAACACATGGGTGGGTTTTGTGTCTTTATCTTATTTGTGCAATATAGTTATCTGGAGTATGATTAGAGCAGTGGTTTTAGTTGGGAGAAAAGAAATATGAATGTACTTCAGTGTGTAGAAAAGACCTGAGCCTTGACTCCACACACAAAACAAACACACATGCACACACACACTCATTCTTTCAGCCTCAGACTCATGGTCCTAGAGTCTCTCCTGACAACCACATTTCTCTCTTTTTTGCCACTTCTACACAAGTATCCCTGTCTCCATAGCAACTCATCTCAGTTTTAGAAATGTGAACAAAAGACACATGGAAAAAAAGAACGTACACAAATAATACATGTAGACAGCACATTGATCAATAGACCATGCACACAACTACACAAGGTCACACACTGTAGATACACACAGAAATACAGAAGAACAAAAGTACCACTGCCTCAACTATGAACCTTTATTGTTGACGAAGGTTCATAAAAAGCAGGAATAATGTTCTGGATTTTGATTTAAAGCTGCTTATAAATCTAACATTTTCTCCGTTCACAGCAAAAGGAAAATGTCCACAAAGCAGGAAGAAGGAAATGACGTATAAAATTGCACTCGTTATCTTTCCATCTTCATCTTCTGTGTGTATGACCTCTCTCTCTTTCATCTGCAGATATTTGTATTATCTTAGTTCTTTCCGTTTCACATCTGTCACATGTTAAAAGCGTCATCAACATCCTCTCTCGCTAGCAGTGAAATTTGACGAAAGACATTTTCCTGATGTAGTCTCACATGGTCTCACTCAGAGATTCTCTGGTTATTTCATTGGGGCTCTGGAAGAAAAAGTCAGGACAATGTCCAGAGCAATTGTCTTGGACATTTGTGTTCTGTATGAAAAATATCATGAAAATGTCCTCATTGTGTCTGAGAGTAGCTTCATTCACTTTTACAGTCACTTGTTTCTTTTCTGTGATCAACTAAAACCTCACGTGTGCTCGAACATTGTGAACAAACTCATCTCTTCCAACAGAATCTATCCTGCTGCGGCAGAACCAGAGCTATTTTCAGTTAAAACCTGTCCTTCTTCATCCACAGGGGTTAATGCCTACATTACCCATAAGGCAATTCGGCCATTTTGTGCTCAGATTCAGGTGTGCTGGGGTTTGCTATGCTAGGAGCTGCTGGTGATTAGCCTTTAGCAGCTAGCCTCTGGTGGAGAGGAGTCAGCAGAGTTCAGGTGAGATCACTTCAGTCGTTCTAACTCCACGTGTTGTTTCATCTGGTAACTTGTGGTTGACTCATCACTCGAAGCTTTTTATCAGGATTCTGATCAAACTTATTTTCCACATGTTCAGTAGCTCAACACATGTAAACAGTTTCTGATTGAGGCCTAATCCACCATGATGTTACTGCAGCAAGTACAGAAGGAACCGTGCGGAAAGTTTTCAAAGTGAAAACTGCTTTCAGTGTTGTTTCAGTGTGAAGACGATTTGAGGCAAGAGGTTGCTTGTTAGTTAGTGTGTGTGTGTGTGTGTGTG